GGCGCAGTCCATCTATGGCGGGCGGGTGGACAACGAGTTCGATCAGCGTCTGCTCAACACCTTCCTGGAGCGGCTGTTCACCACCAGGAGCTTTGACAGCGAGTTCAAGCTGGCGTGCAAGGTCGATGGGCACAAGGACATTCAGATGCCCGACGGCATCAGGTGCGCCCCTGCCTTCCCTGGGGAGTGTGGTCCTGGGTGGGAGGCGCTGCCCATGTGGCCTCTAATGCTGTCCCCAAATGTGCCGGTTTTCCAGGCGCGAGGAGTTTGTGCAGTGGGTGGAGCTGCTCCCCGACACCCAGACGCCGTCCTGGCTGGGCCTGCCCAACAACGCGGAGAGGGTCCTTCTCACCACCCAGGGTGGGTGACCTGCACTGCCCCAGCCCTGCTGCTGCCGCCACTGTGTTCTGGGTGGGGCTGGGCCTGCGTGGCCTCTTGCTACAGCCCCTGGCCAGGGGTGCTGGCTCAGCGCGTGGGAACGGCCTGCCTTGGAAATGTGTTTTCTTATTTGCAAAGTTTATTTTCCAAGACGTTCAGAAGTGCTTTGAGCCAGAAGGCAGTTAAGACACCATCTGAGGAGTGGTCGTCTTCAGGAGAGAAAAGCCCAGAATAGAGGAGACTGGCCCAGGCGGCTCACCTGAGTAGATGCAGGCAGGTCGGACTCTTGCAGGCTGTGCTTCTGTGCCATGGCTCACCTTCGCCTGGGTCGGCCTGGGTGCCTGCAGGTGCTTCTGTGAAGAGGAGCCACTGCCCAGAGGGAAGGGCAGGCACACCGGCCTCAGGCCTCAGAGCCACGCCACCTGTTCACTCAAAGAAGCAGGATGCTTAGCTGTGGCCATGTGGGTTTAGCTAGGAAACAAGGAAGGTCTGAGGCCTGGCCACCACAGGGATCCAGTAGGTTAGGTGGGATGGGGCTYTGACTTCGTCAGTTCAGTGCTGGGCCACTTGCCCTGAACCCTCCCACCTCGATGATGCAAGGACTATTGTCTGAACCCCATGACCCAGTAACACTGTCAGGAGCCTCTTGCCCATCACCACACCCAGTCCCATGGGAGAACGTAGCAGAGGCTGGCCTGGACCAGTAGCCAGGGTCCAGGCAGCGGTGCTGGCAGCTCAGGCACTTGGCCCTCAGCTGTCAGTGGATGGGCAGTGGGACAGGGCGGCCACCACCCAGAGCCCCACACCGAGGGGCCTTCAGTCAGCTGGGATTGGCATTCCAGGAAAATCTGGCCATGGTGGGCGGCACCGTGCAGTTCAGGAATCCCCTAGAGTGGATGGCAGTGTGGAAGCCGTGGGCGAAGGGCACCACAAGGCCCTGTGGTGGCCAGTTCTGCGTTCACAGAGCTGAGGGGCTCGTGGAGCAGAGAATCACCCTTCAGAGCCCTTGGGTCGAGAAGAGCTTCTCTTCAGTCTCTGCACCCAACTGGGTAGTTCCATTTTGGGTTTTTGGCTCTGAGGATCGAATCTCGGGTCTTCACCATTGAGCTGCCTCCCAGCCCTTTTTCACTGGGAGACAGGGACTCGCTAAGTTGTGGAGACTGACTTTAAACTCATTTGAAGTTTGAGCCTCCTGCCTCGCCTCCAAGTTGCTGAGGTTATGGGTGTGTGCACCATGCCCAGCACTGGTTCAGGTTTGCCAGCCATGAACGTCACCAGGTGACAGTCGTTTTGCATTTGTCATCTTACCTTTCTGGCCAAGCCATTTCCTGTGCTCTACGGTCAGGAACCAGCTGGGTGGTAGAGCAGGTGCTTAGCACTGCAAAGCCCCAGGTGCCGTCCCCTGCACCAAGGAAATGAAGGCAGGCACGGCAGGGCCTTGGAGGCCGCGCAGTTTCTCCAGCTGACCCCACCGTGGCCTCGACGCTCAAGTCTGTCCTCCCCTTTGTGCTTCCCTCCCTCTGCCTGCCCCTGGCACCGTGCCCAGGCGTGGACATGATCAGTAAGATGCTGAAGATGCAGATGCTGGAGGACGAGGACGACCTGGCGTACGCAGAGACCGAGAAAAAAACGAGGACGGACTCCACTTCCGACGGGCGCCCCGCCTGGATGAGGACGCTGCACACCACGGCCTCCAACTGGCTGCACCTCATCCCCCAGACACTCAGCCACCTCAAGCGCACCGTGGAGAACATCAAGGTAGCCTGCGCTGCTGTGGGCTCGGGGTCCTGGCAAGTCCAGCCTCAGACAGGCTCACCCTCGGTGCCTGGAAGCCTTTGGGCTCCATGAGAGAGGAGAGTGACCCTTAGTCCTCCTGAGGGCAGTCAGCTGGCCAGGCCACCCCAAGTCTCCAACTAAGGCAGCCAGCAGTTCTGGGTGGGCTGGGAGTCCAAGGCTCCCCAGAGGTCACCCCTCTCCCGTTCCTGCTGAAGAGGGGACCTCGCCTAATTCTCTTCTCTCTGGCCTCCTCTCCTCTTTGGATGAGTTTAGGATCCTTTGTTCAGGTTCTTTGAGAGAGAAGTGAAGATGGGAGCCAAATTACTCCAAGACGTGCGCCAGGACCTGGCTGATGTCGTCCAGGTGTGCGAAGGAAAGAAGAAGCAGACCAACTACCTGCGCACGCTCATCAACGAGCTCGTGAAAGGTGCTGAGATGCGCTGTCACAGTGGCCAGGCCTTCACCAGGGGCTGCCATCCAGGCCCCCTATCTGGGGACTCTGTCCACACAGGCCACAGGGCCCTGGTCAGGCCTGGCCTCGGGAGCCTGCTGGACATGGTGCCCTGGGAGGGTGTGGGTTTGGAGGCCCCAGGGTTCTCGCGCTTGTCCTGAGAGCCTGTGTGCCCAGAGCACTGAGCCACTGTGCAGGTTTTTAGCTGTGGTGTGGTTGGCTCTGATGGTGGCCCTCCACACACGCTCACCCCCAGCTGACCTGGCCTGGAAGCTGCACTGGAGACTGCCTGGGCCATCCTGGGTGTAGGCTGGGTGCAGAGGAGGGGGCGAGCACCCTGGATCTCGGTGGGAGTCTCGAGCCCTCACAGCTTAGCCCCGTGGGTGCTGAGCCCAGGTCTCTCTGTGCTGCAGGGATTCTGCCCCGGAGCTGGTCCCACTACACGGTGCCTGCTGGGATGACCGTCATCCAGTGGGTGTCGGACTTCAGCGAGCGGATCAAACAGCTGCAGAACATCTCCCTGGCAGCTGCCTCCGGGGGTGCCAAGGAGCTAAAGGTGGGGGGCCACACTCTGGAAGTCCACGGGGAGGAGCAGCCCCTCCCACAGGGAGCCTCGGGCAGCTCTAGGGACAGGCACAAGTCCCCACTCACTTGAGCTCCTTCCCGGCGTCTTTTCCCACAGAACATCCACGTGTGTCTGGGCGGCCTGTTTGTGCCCGAGGCCTACATCACCGCCACCAGGCAGTATGTGGCCCAGGCCAACAGCTGGTCCCTGGAGGAGCTCTGCCTGGAGGTCAACGTCACCACCTCACAGAGTGCCACCCTCGATGCCTGCAGCTTCGGGGTCACAGGTGAGCTGGAGTTGTGTGGAGCTCAGGCCCAGCCCCTGCGTGGCGCTTACTCACTGGCATGTGTCCACGGTGGCCCCAGCCATTGCTCCCAGGGTGGGTGTTGAAGGTGATGGGGCTCCACTCCAGGGGTGCTTCACCTTACCTGGCAGGTCTGAAGCTTCAGGGGGCCACGTGCAGCAACAACAAGCTGTCGCTCTCCAACGCCATCTCCACCGTCTTGCCCCTGACGCAGCTGCGCTGGGTCAAGCAAACCAGCCCCGAGAAAAAGGCTAACGTGGTGAGTGGCCGCCCTCCCTGGCTGTGGTCGGGCTCTGCAAGACACCCAGTGAGCAGGCAAGGCTGCCCTGCACTGGAGCCAGGCCTGCCTGGACACGTCCTCCTCTTTTCCTGCAGGTGACCTTGCCTGTCTACCTGAACTTCACCCGCGCAGACCTGATCTTCACTGTGGACTTTGAGATCGCCACCAAGGAGGACCCTCGGAGCTTTTACGAGCGTGGCGTCGCAGTCCTGTGCACGGAGTGAAGCTAGACTTTGTAGCTGCCCTTTATGTCTAACACTCATTGACCCTGAAAGTGCTCGGAAGGTGTGGACTTGTGAAAAGAAAATAGTGACAGAGACGGAAAGGAAGCTGGCCGGCGGGGGCAGTGGGAACCGGAATGCTGGCAGCAGGAGCTCTGGAGGCCACGGCCAGGCTTGTTTTATGAAATAAAACACTAAGCATGACCGGCTCCTGCCTCCTCTGTCGGCTTCAGCCTGAGGCTTGGGGAGGAGCGCTTGGCACTCACCCGCAGCCTCCTAGGGACAAGGGTGTGGGTCCCCTCCCCTTAGCACATTCGCCCACACCACCATCCCAGATGGGACACAGTGGCTCAGGGCTCAGATGGCTTCTCCCATCCACATTGGCGGGTGACAGGCGGCCGGCTTGTGGAAACAGGTCCTGGCGTCTGGGGGTCTGTTGAGCGCACTGAGAGGGCCCAAGTGTGCAAGTGGTTCTCGGTCCCAGTAGAAGCCAGAAATGTCAACCAGCAGCTCCAGCCCACAGGTCAACAAGCAGATGCAGCCTGGCTGCCAGATGCCACCAGTGGTGCCCGGGGAAGAGACAGTCCAGGCCTGGACAGCTGTCCCCGAGGTCCAGGGCTTCCATGCAGACCCCACAAGGAGCACCTGAGGCTTTTCCCAAACTGCACAAAGGATACCCATCACCCGGTGCAGGGCCGCCTCATAGTAGCCTCCTCTGGGGGCACCCCTGGAGCAGCAGGCTCCCCCAGGCCCCAGAGGGAACTCACCTCTGGGCCCACTCACCTAAACAACAGGAGGGTCTGGCTGGACAGTGACAGCCCACTAGCCAGGCCCTGCCTGGCAGAGCCAGAAGCAGGATGTTAACCACCCCACCCTCTGCCACCTGAGCATCTGACATCCAACAGTCCTCCTCTGCACCCCCGAGGCAGGGCCTCTTCCCCACCATGAAGAAGGAGCAGTTCCTTGTGGCAACGTCTCTTTATTGGCACTTGGGAACAGCGAGGTCCTACTGCTGTGTGGAGAGAGCCAGACTTGGAGAGGACCAGACCAGGACCACCAGCACCAGAACCTCTCGGCTTTTGTCTGCAAGTAGATTAAGTTCAATGAGCAAACCACCTCCCCTCTGGGACTCCACGCCTTGACCATTCCAACAGGCTGGGCCCAGACCAACTGCTCAGAAACCTGTGCCTGGCCAGTGGCACAGCCTCCAATCCCAGCAGCTCCGGAGGCTGAGGCAGGAGGATCACGAGTTCAAGGCCAGCCTCAGCAATGGCAAGGCGCTAAGCAACTCAGTGAGACCCCTGTGTCTAAATAAATACAAAACAGGGCTGGGGATGGGGCTCAGTGGTTGAGTGCCCCTGAGTTCAATCCCTGGTACCAGGGGCTGGGGATGTGGCTCAAGCAGTAGCGCGCTCACCTGGCATGCGCGGGTTCTATCCTCAGCACCACATAAAAATAAAAAAATAAAGATGTTGTATCCACCGAAAACTAGAAAATAAATATTAAAAAAAAAATCCCTGTTACCAAAATAAAAAACACACAAAGGTTTATTGAAAGTAAACTGGGCAGGAGCACTTGTCTGGCCCTGGATTCCATCCCCAGCACGCTCGCACACTCACACACTAGTAAAATTAATTCTCTGGGTTTGGGGAAAGGAGGGGTTAATAAAGGCCACATGAGGCCCTCCCTGAAAGGCAGACCCATTTTCAAGCTGGGTGATGAGGACAAGTTTCTTATTCAAGATCTAAAAAGGGCACCATGTGACACCATGTCTTTTTTTTTTTTTTTTTTTTTCAGTTGCTGATGGACATGATCCTTTCTTTTATTTATTTATTTTATGTGGTGCTGAGGATCGAACCCAGGGCCTCACAGGCCAGTGCTCTGCCATTGAGCCCCAGCCCAGCCCCCCATGTCTCCTTTGAAAAGCTTTCGTGCTTATCAAGGTTCCTCTTGACCCACCATGACCTGGCTCCTCACATGCCTCTGGACCCCTTCCCCAGCTAAATCTGCTCACCTTGGGTCAGGCCATGAACTGCTTCTTTCTCTTATTTTTTTCAGGCTCTGCAAGTAAAAGTTCCAGTTTTCTCTTGGAAAGCGAGAGCTTGGGCCCTTTGTCTCTCTCGCCTCCGAGTCTGGGTAGCATCCGTGTCCCCTTGGCCTTGCTGGGCAGGTGTCTGCCCAGCTCCAGGAGCTCCACAGGACTGGCTGGGTTGGGTGCCCTGGTGGCTCTGGAGTCCTCCTGGGCTGTGCAGGGCCTCTCCGCCTGCCTTCCGGCCTCCTGGGGGCCTCTGTGCTCCAGGGGCAGCCTGACTTCACTCTCGGGTTGCATGTCCACGTCRTTGGCTTCCAGGGATATGGGGGCCCAGCAGGCAGCCTTCACCGAGAAGTGTGGGGCCTTAGATGGGAGAGCGTTGTTGACACCGGCGTCCTCGGGACTCCTGGACTTCAGTGTGTACAGAGGCACACTGCTCCTCTCACCCGGGGAACAGCCAGAGAAGGAGCCAAACTGACCAGGGCAGGCTTCTGAATCACCATCGTAGGAATCTAAAAACTGAGGACAAAAGCCAAGCTCAGCCTGTCAGCAAATGGCTAACAGAGGCAGATGCACGAATTATTTTGTCCACCAGAGGTGTCGGCAAATTTAACTGCTCTGCCTTAGAGTGGATTTTTATTTTTTCCACTACTGGGGACTGAACCCAGGGATGTTCCAGCACTGAGCTACATCTCCAATTTTTCATTCTGTACGTGAATTTTAAAAAATAAATTCAATCAAATAGCCAGCCATGGAAGCTCATGCGTATAGTCCCAGCTACCCTGAGGCTGAGATAGAATGGCCTGAGTCCAGGAGTTCAAGGCCAGCCTGGGGAACAAAGTGAGACGCTGTCTCAAAAACAACAACAACAACAATAGATCAATATTCCATAGAACGCAGATAGCCTGAGTGCCCGCCATCCTGGGGGCTCAGCCTGAGCCTCCTTGCTGGTCACTCTCGACCCAGTGACCCAGGGCCAGGCACAGGACTGGCAGCCTTGGCCCAGGAGCAGCCCTACTGACCATCAGTGGGTCTGAGCCCTCCTCCCTCTTGATGCCTCTTCCAGGGAGCGAGGCCTCCTTTTCTGGTGAAGGACAGACGGGGGAGGCCCCAGGCCCCAGCAGGTGCACACACATCTGGAAGGCCATCAGATTCCTGGCTACCGTCCCCTCCTTCCACTTTCTGCTTCCTGATCCTCACTGAGTGGCTCTGGAAGTCATCTCATTCAGAGAATGTCAAGTCCCCAAGACTGACCTGACAGGTGGCCTCTCAGTCAGGCCCTGAGCTTGCAGCCAGCAAGCAGCTCTCAAGCGCTGTCCCCTCTCCTGTGGAAACAGCCTCCAGGTCTGCTAGGAGGCCCAGGGACACTGCGGCACCATCAGGTGACCAACGATTCCCTCCTCCGCCACACCACAGCTTAGTACATAACCCACACGCTGGTGCATGTGGGCACACGCGTGCAAGCACGCACACACGCAAGCACGCACACCAGAAAGGCCCCCAGGGCTAGGCAGAGCTGAGTCCAGGCGGGGGCCCGCCACCGGGCACATCACGTGGGCAGTGAAAACCTCCCCAGAGACCTTGTTTCCTCTTTTCATTATATTTTTCTGGTTCTGTGGATGGAACCCAGGGCCTGACACATGCTAAGCCTGTGTTCTACTACTGAGCCACACCCCAGCCCTTCATTTCCTCTCCAGACAGGTGACACTGATATTTATTCCAAAAAATAAAAGGTAAACGTGATAATAGACAAAATCATCTGTAAACAATTGTAATTTCAGATTCTGAAACAAATCAGAATTGCTCTAGTCCACAAGCCACATAGCAGTCGGTACTCAAGAGGCCACAAGGCCCCAGTGGCCAGTAGACAGCACTCACAGACCAAGAGGAGCATTCATTCACACCCTGGTTTTTGGCTAAAATGACCTTTTGCCTTCCCTGTTGACTCACGCCACCCTGGACCAGGGTTACCCAGAGCTGTGTCAATTATTGAGGCTGATCTTAATTTGGACTGAGATTAATTTTAATATTGACTATTCGTTAATCAGGTACAGTGGCACACACCTGTAATCCCTGCTGCTCAGGAGGCTGAGGCAGGAGGATCATAARCTCAAGGCCAGCCTCAGCAATTTAGCAAGACCCTGTCTCAAAAAATAAAAAGGGCTGCAGATATGGCTCCGTGGTAGAGCGCCCCTAGGTTCAATCCCCAGTACTGCAATAAAAGAAATTCGGAAGACTGAAAATAATCCATTTGGACTTTAAAGCACATTTTTTTCTAAAATATAACAGTGGGCGGGGGATAGCTCCGTGGTAGAGTGATTGCCAAGCGTGTGTGAGGCCCTGGGATCTATTTCGAGGCAAATAGGAAAAAAAAAAAAAAAAAGCCTGACTGACTGGATATGGGGGTGGGATGCAGTCCCAGGCCGTCCGGAGACAGAGGCAGACAGCTCACTTGAGCCCCGGAGCGGGAGGCCAGCCTGGGCAGCCCAGGGAGACCCCATGTCAGACAAAACAAAGCAGAACTCTCCTTAATCACTGCTTCATGCTCTCAGGGGACATCACAGCGCAGGACCACCACAATCCGCCCCAAGGGGTCTGGTCCCAAGGCTCGCCTGGGCTGGGGCAGGGCTCTGGGGAGGGCGTTCCCTCCATGACAAGTGACTGCGGGCCTTGGTGACATACCTCTCTCCAGAGAACTTCAGCCAAGTCCATGTGGTTCCTGTTGTGGTTGACCTGCAGGGAAAGGGCTGGAATGTTCCCTTCCTTCAGGGCGGCCACCCAGGGCCAGGGAACTCGGGGGGCCGCTGCCCACGCCCTGCCTGGCCCTCRGCTCTGGCGAGGCGGGGAAGGACGAGCACAGGGCGGTGTGCAGGTCGGGTCTGGGGGCCTGAGATGCAGGCCGAGCCTCTGCTAGCAGGAGGGAGGAGCAGGACCAGGGGTCAGCCGAGCCCTGGGTAGCCAATGTGCTCACTGTGCTCCAGCCACCGGGAGGAGACAGACAAGACGCACCTGGCACCGGCTCTGGACCCAAAGCCAGAGGTGGAGGAAGGTCCCAAGGCCCTTCCCCTCCTCCCCCACCTCCCAGACCCGAGGCCCTGAGGCCAGGCCTTGCATGGGCTCTGGGGAGCCACACACTGAACCTGGGGGCCCAGGATGGCAGAGGTCTGAAGAAAGACTCTCAAGGAGCTGGCACGGGCCACCCCAGTGTTTACAAAAGGCCATCTCTGCAGATTGAACAAGAGCCACAGGGGCATTTCCCAGGGGGTCCCTCCCACCCCGCTGAGGCAAAGGGCAGCAGGCAGGGGCACCTGGAGGCGACGGCGTGCATTCCTCTGCCTCTTCCGGAAGCTGGGCCCAGTGCCAGTGGTGCTGAACGCTGCCCTGATGCAGTTGGGCCTGCCGCGCCTCAGGCTGGCCATGGCGTGGACTTGCCACTAACTGAAGAACATCAAGGGCACAGGGACAGAGCCCAGGTCAGAGGGTCCAGGGCAGGGGCGGCTGCAGAAGGGCAGGGGGCACACTCTGGGGCTTCTCTGTTCTGACTGGCAGCTGCCAGTAGGACRTGCAGAGTGCACTCCAGGGGCCACCGGCACTGTGGCCAAGGCCAGCCTCAGCAAGGCCACCCAGGGAACTTCCAGCCACGGCAACTGGCCAGGCGTGTGGGGTGGACACTGCCGAGGCCATCAGGCTTCCTCCTTGGCCAAAACAAAGCCCCTGGGGACACAGGAATTCATCCACACGTGATGTCCTGGAACCCTAGCGCTAGGTGGGGACTTGGAGGCCACATGCTCCTGCAGTTCAAATGGGACCCCCCTGCTTTATTTATCCATTTATTTATTTACTTTTGGAGTTGGGGAGGGGGCCGGCGCCTGCCTCAGGCATGCTAGGCAAGTGCTCTGAGCTACACTTCCAACCCTTTTTTTTTTTAACTTTCTAATTTTTTAAAATATTTTTAATTGTCAAAGGACCTTTATTTATTTTTATGTGGTGCTGAGAATCGAACCCAATGCCTCACACATGCTAGGCAAGTGCTCTCTACTGAGCCACGACCCCAGCCCTAACTTTCTAATTTTTGAGACTAAGACTGGGTCTCAAGTCTCCAACTTGAGAGCCCCCTGCCTCAGCCTCCTGAGTATATGGAGGGCACCACTGCGCCTGGCATATTGCTTTATTTAAGTTTTGTTTGTTTTGATTTTTGTTTCTGCACTTTCAGGGATGGAACCCAGGGCCTTGGGATGCTAGGCAAGCACACTGATTCTGAGTTATTACCACTGCCCTATTTCTCTTTCTACTTGTTAGTGGGTTTTTACAGTATTAGGGGATGAACCCAGAGGGGATTTTTTGTTGTTGTTGTTTTAATCTAAGAAAACTCGGTTGAAAAGTACATCAGTTATGCTGGGCACAGTGGCACACACCTGCACTCTCATTGCCTCAGGAGGCTGAGGCAGGAGGATGCCAGCCCAGGAAAGTTAGCAAGACCCTGTCTCAAAATAAAAAGTAGAAGGGGGCAGGCACGGTGGCGCACACCTGCAATCCCAGGAGGATCGTGAATTCAAAGCCGGCCTCAGCAAAAGCGAGGCACTAAGCACCTCACTGAGAGCCTGTCTGTAAATAAAATACAAAATAGGGCTGGGGATGCGGCTCAGTGGTAGAGCATCCCTGGGTTCACTTCCCAGTACCCCCTAAAAAGTATTCTTCACGATGTTCCAGGGATTGCCAACATGACATGCTGTTCACTGATAAACTCAGGTTTCCCACACTGGGCTCCTTGGAACCCACTTCTGAGTCCTGTTCAGCAAAGCTTTGAATAAACAGAAAATACAAAAAAAAAAAAGAAAAAGAAAAGAACAAATGGAAAATGATGCAGACCAGCCCCTGCCATGTCCCCGTGACCTGGTGTTTTGTTCCTGCAGTGCTGGGGACCAACCCCAGGGCCTCCAGCTTGCTAGGTAGGCATCAACCACTGAGCCACATCTCCAGCCCTTTTTAATATTTAGAGGCAAGGCCTTGCTGAGTCACCTAGGGCCTCCCTAGTTTGCCCAGGCTGGTTTTGAACTCAGGATCCTCCTGCTTCAGCCTCCCAAGTTGATGGGATTATCCAGCTTCTCATGTGAGCATTTTAAAGAAAGGTCCCAGTGGAGACTGAAATCTCCCTTTTTTGTATTATCTGAAGTCTGTGCTTCGTGAAGATTTCCTTAGTTTCCATGTAAGGTCTCTCTCTGCCCCAGCGTCCTGTCCGGGAAGCTAGACATCTCTTTAGGTTCTTCTTGGCTGTGACAGTTTTTCAGTAAAACCTTCTGAGGAAACTGGCTGAGTGCTTTTTAGGGTGTCCTGGGACCAGGAGCGCCTGATTCCCTGAGAATACACTGGGCTTGTGGGTTTGGGTAAGAAGACCAGAGACAAAGCACTGTCCCCTCGCAGCCTAAGGGGAGCACAGGCACGGCGCACAGCATCCTGGGAGTTGGTGACTGCAAGTGCCGGGCTGCTGGAGTCAACCAGGTGACCCTCCAGATCACGTCATCTTTGGAAGGACCTGTGTGCAGCCACACTGGAGAGGGGTGCTGCCTCCTACTGGAGGACAGAGGAGCTGCACAGAATCCTGGATCTGGCCCATTTCTCTATTTATCAACCCACCTTGATTTCATGCTTTTGGTCATAAATCACACTACCTCGTTTTGTCCAGCTGTGGCTGGAACTTGTTCAGTTAGTTCTGTGTCCCTTTGACACACCCAAACCTACTTATTTTTTTTTTGTTACTGCAGTACTAGTGCTTGGACCCAGGGTCTCGAGCATGTGAGACAGACACCCTATTACTGAGCCACACCCCAGCCCTTTTGATTATGAGACAGGTTCTTGCTAAGTTGCCCAGGCTGTCCTGAACTCAGGATCCTCCTGCCTCAGCTGCCCTATTAGCTGGAATTACAGGCATGTGCCACCACACCTGGTCCCAAACCTGCTCATCTGACCTCTAATTGTTTCTCTAGACTAATTTAGATAAAAGTACCAAAAGAGTGAAATTAGAACAAGCTGCTCAGCCCTCTCCCAACTTCCCCAGCCTCACTCACAAGAGGTCCTGGAGTCAGTACCAACCCCAGGTCTAGATCAGCTGGTTGGCACCAGAGCAAAGCGCTTCTTATAGTTTGTAAAATTTGTAATCAGAGGAAGTTCATGTACCTGGTTTTAAAGACAACTAGATGATACACAGTAAGTATCTGAAGCCCCCATTCCCGAAGCTCTCAGCCCCCACCTTTAGTTCCCTTCCCTGTTCCAGAAGTTTGTAAGCAGAAGCTCCCTATGTAGGTTTGTCTGTACCAGGGGTTGAACCTGGGGCACTTTACCAATGAGCCACATTTTTTTTTTTATTTTGAGGCAGGGTCTCACTAAGTTACTTAGGGACTCACTAAATTGCAAAGTCTGGCCTCAAACTTGCGATCCTCTTCCCAAGCCTCCGGTGTCCCTGGGATTACAGACAGGTTCCCTGGCACCTGGTCACACAGGCCTTTTATAAACCTTTGGCCACCGCATTTCACACCCAAAGAGGCAAAAGTACATTTTGTTATGTATCTCCTGTGAGATGTAAGACCTGAAGCTTCCTTGCCTCTGCCAGCAAACCTTGAATGGTGGCACCGGGCTCCAGGTGCTCCCTGGACCTACCCAAACACCACCCCACCACTCGCAGGGCTTGGACATGACCAGAAGGGCTTGGGCTCTGGTAGTGTTTCTGAGGCCTCCTAGGGATTCAACGGACAGAGGCAGGAAGCTAGCAGGACACACACACAGCAGGGAGCCTGAGGCAGAGTCCCCGGAGCCTAATCTGCTCTCTGCACCACCCTGACTTCTAGGACCCAAGCCTGCTTAGGTGGGGCAGACACACCAGGGCCTCTCCCCCACCCGTTGTCCTGCAGACAGACTGGAGAGGTCCTGGAAACCAACCAGTAGTGCTGAAGTCACCTTGGTACACCAAGCATCTGCAGCTCTTCCTGACCACCCCCTCTCAACTCTTCTTTCCTAGCCAAGGTCAAACTGGGCCTTGGCGAGATCCCAAGAGGAGCCCCACACCCCTTCTTATCCCCTCTCCAGGCCCCTGCCCTCCACCCCAGGGAGTTGGCTTTCTGCCCCTCTGGTTTGTCACTTAAGTGACACTTTATAAGCAGCCCTGCTACAGCTGCTTCCTGGACAGGCCCAGCCCCAGGTGGGCTCAGGGGTCCACAGCCCAGCAGAGGCCAGCATTAGGCAGCACTGAGGGTGCCTGCCAACAGGGCTGCTCTTGGAGGGTGACAGTGGGCGTGTGGGCGAGCCTCAAGCCCACAGGTGGACCTTGACCGTCCTTGGAGCTGTGAGATTATCATCATTCTCCTCCATTACGTTTAACATTGCTGAAGAGTTTGAGTCATCACCTCGACCCAGAATGCCACCAGACCCCACCTTCAGGCCAGTCCTACCAATTCCAGTCCTGCGCCCGGTCACCACCAAGGATGCAAGTCATCAGCCCCAAGGGTCCAGAATCAGGCTGCTCATCTCCCCATTCAACCCACCTCTCACCCAGGGCAGAGCAAATTCAGTTCCAGCAGCTCAGACTGAGAGATCCCGACTCCTCCTCCACCCAAACCACACACCTGCTCAGCCAGAGCATGGCTGTTAAAATGCCACCCCTCCATCCTCTGGGCTGGAGTCCATCAGAGGACCTCTCCTGCCCCCCACCCACCCTGCTCCTGGCCCCAGCCCATCTCCCCCACCAGACACCCCACCTGGCCACCTCCCCCACCAGGCACTCTCCCTCCTCGGGCTCCACCTGCATATGGTGTCCCCTCCCCTCCAATGCCCTCCACTCAGGTCTCCTGGAGCCACTGTCCTTGCATTTGAACACCCTCACACACACTCACACTTATGCACACACATGTACTCACACACACTTACACAGTACATGTACTCACACCTGTGCACACGCACACACTCACCTACGCACTCACCTATGCACACACCTACTCACACACATGTGCACACATGCAGCATTGTCACTAACACCCTCTTCGTCCCCTGCGTCCTGGTGGATGGTGCTTGTCCGTCCCTTTTAACTGACTGGGGTGTTGGTTGCTTTGCCCGCAGCTGTCCCCACGGCGCAGCAGCCATGCCCAGTACCATCTGTGTGCGGGGAACACCTGAGTGCTCCGTGGAGACCTCTCCCCAGGGAGCTTCCAAACCAAATGCACTTCCCCAAGACACACCCCTTGGCTCCCACGATCAGTCACAAGGTCCCTGAGCCAAACCCACAAACACTAGTGGAAGCTGAAAAGCTCCCGGGTCCAGGGCCAGACTTCCTGGGTCCAAACCCCAGGTCTGCTCTGGCCTTCGCCTTCCGGCTGCAAAGGGGAGGAGTGGCTGGGGCGAGGGCAGGACCCTGGGTGCTCTTTTGCTGTTT